TACTGTATTGACCTCCACGGTCGTATGCTGATTTCCTAAAAGAGTTTGCAGACTTTCTCTCAGATCTATTGGTCAATGTCGAAAAAGCAATAATTATTGTAGATTTTAAAATACATGTACATAACATAACACAAATGATGCGTTAGTGACTGTGTTTACAGATTTACTCCTGTAGGGTCAAGCAAAACCTCAGTGGTCCCACTCATCGCCTGAATCATAAACTAGATTAAATTCAATCATATGGAACCAATCCAACCGATATAGATATTATACTGCAAACTGATGATGTCACTGATCATTATATGGTAACTTGCAAAATACGTACTGCTGAAATTTGTCATGTTGCGCCATGTTATCGACCAGGAAGAACAATCCCTCCAACCACTATAGATAAATTCTCAAATAGCTTACCCGATCAATCTCGGCTGCTCAGTAAAACCAAACAAACAGATGAACTAGAGGAAATGACAAGCAGTTTGAGCACCATTTTCTCTAGTACATTAGAAATTGTTGCACCAATTAGATTAAAAAAGGTCAGAGAGAAAACTAAAGCACCATGGTACAACTTAGAGCGTAAATGGAAACAAACTAATTTAGAGGTCTTAGAATCAGAATGTCACGTTTTAGTAATGATTTTATGAATTACTTCAATGAGAAAATAGAAAGCATCAGAAACACAATAGTAAATATACAATCCTCTATGGTGTCTTATGATTCAGCCTCAATTATTGCCCCTCAAGAACATCTACACTGCTGTACAACTATAGGACAGGAAGAGCTAAATAAACTTTTCATTGCATCTAAACTGAATCAACAACATGTTTATTAGATCCAATACACACTAAACTGAAAGAAGTGTTACCTGTAGTGAAAGAGCCTCTTCTCAATATTATTCACTCGTCTTTATTCTTAGGTCATGTTCCAAAGATATTCAAGCTGGCAGTAATAAAACCTTCCATTAAGAAACTGCAATTAGATCCATATAATCTAGCAAACTACAGACCACTTCAAATCTTCCATTTATGTCTAAAATACTAGAAAAAGTTGTGTCCACTCAATTGTGCTGTTTCTTGCAAGAAAATGATATCTATGAAAAATTTCAGTTAGGATTCAGACCGCATCATAGTACAGAAACTGCGCTAGGAATTACAAATGATTTGCTTTTACCTTCTGACCAAGGCTGTGTCTCAATACTAGATCTACTCGATCTTAGCGCTGCGTTCGACACTATAGATCATGAATCAATCTTGGAACGACAACAAAACATTAAAAAGTATTTAATGGACCTTTCATCGCCCTACAATCCATCGCGTTCACTAGATCACTAAATTCGAGGCTTCTGGTCATTCCTAGAATATCTAAGTCCACTAACGGAGGGAGGCCATTCTCACATTTAGCTTCTAATCTCTGGAATAGCCTTTCTGATATTGTTCGAGGCTCAGACTCGCTGCCATCTCTTTAGCCAAGCATTTACATAATACTTTCCTTTTAAACCACTGTTGAATCAGATCGAATGCATTAATATTATGAACAGCAGCTATGCTAATTATTTCCCATCTGCTTTTCTGCTGTTCTGTCCCGAGGTAAATAGCGTTCGTAAGCTCCAGCCACTCACAGAGACTTCAGATGCCCCAACTCCTGCGATGAGATGACTAAACGCCTGCGGAACTAAATGCCGCATATCTTTGAAACAATATTGTAAAAAGCACTATACAAATACATTTGAATTGAATTGTACTATGTTGTACTTGGTGAAAACACGTTCACCATCATCCATACTGACCTTTCCCATAGTTGAAGTGGAGTTTGATGGCTTTGCCTTGGTTAATGTGAAGATACGTGAACCCAATGGCAAACATAAGCAAAACAAGCAGCAGAAGGAGTTTAAACTGCTTGCGGATTTTCTTCAGAGGAAAGCGCATCCTCTCACAGTAACATCACCCACTCAGTGGAAAATTCAGACTGGTGCCCTTCAGTGTTGATCTTGTACAGCTAGAATTTCAAAAGATGTTGAAATGATTAGCTTCACACTCACAATACTGATAATAGTTTTCAGATTGGAACAGATTTAGACTTGCTAATGAACATCTAAAGACTGTTTACTTGATGAACATTATGTTCAATGACATTCAAAACTTCCCGGACCAAGTCTGCTGTACTGGGTATTCGTTATGAATGACATTTACACACTTATGTGTAGAGTCAGTTATTATTGCTTTCATAATCATGAATACTTACCGTAGACGTATTTTTCTCAGTAAAACTGTCATGTCTAACCGGTGCCAACACAGGAGATGTGTTCGTGTGTTTGTTGGCTGATGTTGCGCTGTCCTGTGTCTGTCTTCACTGCTTACTTGAGTCCAATTGATCAAACTTACTGAACACACTTATTTCCTTTTCGATATGTCTTCATACACTGATTGTTTTCATCTTAAAGTCTGTTATTGTTATTATAGCTATAGTTCAGCACAAATCATTAGCCTACTCCAGGCGCGTTATGTGGAAGACAGACAGTGGAAGTGTTAAATTATCTGTTTTTCTCGGTTTATTCTCGTGTTTATGGTGAGAAGAGCGATGAAAACAAATAAAGCCCTGCTTGCGTTTATAAAGCATCACTGTTTTCTGGTTTGGTCCCGGTGCCTCTTCTCGCGCTGGTATTCACGAGCACGCTTTTGTTTCCAAGGTCTGTTTTACAGTCCAAAAAATCGACTGCAAACATCTTCGTGTGGTGGTGCCATCTAAATCCATGTGTTGAGTCCTTTTTGTTTTGGTGTTCTCTGCAATTAAAGAAAACTGAAATATTCCCCCATCATCAGCGCACTTGTCCGACCGCATCCCCCAGTTGCACCCTGGTTTTCAACAGTGGTCTGTTCTGATGGATAGAGGGAGCTGTTCACGAGCAAGCCTTCACAGCGCGTGTTCCCTGAAAGCCTCAAGAATCATCCCTGGACATTGTTGAATCCACCTTCATTCCATTCACAGACTGACGTTTACGACTTTTAAAAAGACATTACTTGGACTATGTCAAGCAAGTAGCCTACTTATTTGGTGATGTTGTATCTTCATTTATATTCTTTATAGCCTGATGCAGCAGAGGCCGAGTAAACTATAGCCTAAATTGTTTAGACTGAGTAATACTATATTATATATATATAGTTTTATTATTATTGTACATTAATTTCACTGTGTCAAAAAGCTGTATGTTATAAAGCTATAGCTAAAGCTTAAAGTTCACTTTTAACTTTTAAGGGACACACGAAAAAAATCTAATTAAATCAAACATTATTTATTTTTATATATTCCTAAACTATAATTAAATCCATGCATAGCAGTGTGGAAAATGTATTTTTTTCATATGAAGAGTTCAGATGCAAAAGCCTCTGTGCCATTTGAAATTTTCTTCTAGAATGATCATTTTTATCAAGCTTGTATATTTAAGTTCAGTAATTTCACTTAAATGGCAATGATGATTACATATTAATTGTTATTTAAGTGAAATTAATTTACTTAAATATACAAGTTTGATAAAAATCATCATTCAAGAAGAAAATTTCAAATGGCATTTAGAGGCTTTTGCATCTGAACTCTTCATATGTTTTAATTATAGATGTGGTATTTAAAGTTTTTGAATAAAAAAATAATATAGGCTATTTTATTGTTGTTGTTTTGTTTGTTTTTTTTTGATAATTTCCATCAGCTCGAGTGTATCCATGGTGAGAAACATCATTACATCATTACATATATATATAATTATTTTAGCACTTATTTTTGTGAAACATATGTAACTCTGACAATATCAGGAAGTGGCCACAGCCCCATAAATTAAACATATAGTGTGAATTGTTCATTGTATTGTTCATATTAGTTTATCCATATGTTAAAGTCAGTTTAGGTACATGCATGTGGGTATACAATGATATTTACAGCATTTTCTGTTTTGAACCATTGCAAAAACTCTACCAGAAGAGTCTATTATTAAAGGCTCATTGAGGAGGGCTGGAACAGCTTGGTCTGAATAGAAAACCCCTTAGTATGCCACGATTAAAGGAGCTAGGAGATTATTATTTTAGGCACCTAACCTTTGAAAGCTGATTTCTGTCTTCCATAAGGAATTGTTTTGGATGCTGAAACACCAAGCCACCTGATAAACCGTCTTTAAACATATAACCTCAGGCATAAAGCAGGAGAAAGAGAGGTACCTTCATGCAAGTGCTAATGTTCAGCAACCCTGAGAGTTGATTCTTTCTCAGTTCACAGGAGCTGATAAAAATCAGATCAAAGCTGAATATGAACTGACAAGATTTCCAGTCCAGCTGCTTTATATATCTTTAAATTTGATCTTGTTTTCTTTAGATTACGTTAAAGGCTAAAGAGTAGGCTATGACGAGTGCAGTCCGATAACCTTTATAGGGTAAAGTGTTGCATTGCAAAACTAAGCACAGATGAGCCCCTCAAAACCTGCTCAGTTATGAAGATGAGTGATGGTGTGTCATCTTTCTCGCGTCTGCTCTATTTCTGTCAGCCCTTCTCTCTCTCTCTTTCATTGAGGCTCAATTATGATGTATGGCACTCACCATCTGCCAAGGCGTGGCATCCATCACACAAACCTGTGTCACAAAATGCTGTTACTGTCCTCCAAGAGTAGGAAACAGACATGAAAAATACTCATATTACAGGTAGTCTGATGATGCTAGCAAATATCCCATTGCAGTATCAGTCTCTGACATGTTGTCTGGGATGGAAATCTAAATGGCCTACAATTAGTTCACCAGAACACTTTTTTTCTATGCATAAAAATTAACAATTAAATGGATTATAACGCTATTGAAATTTTGTTGAAAATATGACAAGTAAAACGTGGGATGAAGTGCGAATGTGGAATCAGTGAGGATACATTGTAAACAAAAAGTTAGTTTACAGAGCCCTCGTGTGGTCAAATTGAGCATTGGCGAATTGTGCGTAAAAAAAAAAAAAAAAAAAAAAAAAACACACCACCCACACCAGATTAGAAAAGTTCTATTTCTGCAAATCTAATTCAAACATAGAATAACAAATTAAATAGGTATATATTTACTATATACAGAATGAATAAAACCAAAGCCTTTTGGTTGGAGTTCTCAAAACTCCTTAAAAGGAATGTACACTATCCATAACTCAAATAATGTACTGAAAACATATTTTGAATAAAAAAAAAAAAAAAAACCCTGATAAGAATGACATTTACAGAGAGGCATCTGACAAAGTCCACACTGGAATAGATCTTAAAACCATCAATGTCTTAATACAATGGCATAATAACAATACATTGCTAATTTCAGACTTACAATAGGTTTACACTGTTATTCTGAGAGGCAATACAGCTGCTTAAAAAAATCTTAAAGAACCTGTTTTGATAATTAATGACTGTATACGTACTTTACTTGAGAATACTTTTCTTAATACTATTTTCTTTGTTTAAGATTAAAATTTTAGTTTTTGTACTGGTCTACATATAATGTTGAGAAATATCATCTGGCAAAATAATTCATAACCTCAAAACATGAGTTTATTAAACCAGTTGAAATAAACCTGAAGCACTTCCTGGGCTTCTTCTTCCAGCCCTCTAGGACCAGTTAGTTGTTGCTGACTGTTTTAAGTAGGCTTATGCTAGATGAGGCAATCAGAAAGCAAATCTGACATTAAAGTTATTTACAAATACAAAATCCTATAAGCATTAAAATACAATACTTTAAAAAGCTAAGTGTACAAAATGTTCACACAAATGAAAAAATGTACAAATACCAAAAGTATATAAAGTTGTGGCTATAGGTGACCAGAAAAATATGGTTCAATCTTGTTAAAGGCCATGTTTAATATTGCCATCAGCTTTTCTATATGGGAATTTAAATTGCAGCTGTCTCAGTGAAACTGTGCCAGATCTTTAGAGCCATACTGCCCTATCAGAATTATAAATATTGGCTTGTGGACTGCAAAATTACCAGAAAGCTGGTATCACCAAACGATTCACATCACAAACGGAGCCTATTTAATTATGACCGCTAAAAAAACACATACACTACAAGTACATTACTCTGTAACTTCTTATCAGAAAGGGTAAGCTACAGTGTCATTTAACCTGGAGTGGAATGTGATATTAACAAATAATTACAATATTCTGTCAAGCCATAGCATATTAACCACTGGTTGATTTTGAATGTTAGAAATCACTATAGTTATACTACAGTAATCATTTGTCTTTTCATCACAGCTCTAACCATTACATTATTAGGATACAGAAATTCCAAAAAACATTGGCGGTGCTGTGGTGTTATAAGTGACGGTTCTGTGCAAACCATATCCAAATAAGAGAGTGCGGAAGAAAAGTCAGAAGGCAGTTGTTCATAAAACAATTGACAAATATGCCGAGTTGTATATTTAACAGTGAGCCAGCTCACTTTTTTTAAGAAGACTTTATCTTGGTCATACGTGCCAGGTGTAATGCGTCCAGATTCAACCTGAACAAACTTCAGCTGCTGAGAAGTCAAATATTAAAATACTTGCTTTTATCAATAATGCTTTCCACATAAACACTGGCAAAGCACTTGAATAAAAGTTAGTTGGCGGCTTAAAATGCCTCTGACTTGGCGAAGTGTTGGCTGGATGGGTGTTGAAACAGAGGGTCTGAACGGACGGTGGGAATTGGTTTGTCAGATAACTGTGACTACTCGCAGGCTGTTGAGGATGTTTTGGGCGATATGGAGAGTATCTCTGAAGATGTGTCCATATTCTGACATTCATCATCTCCCAACTCTCCATTTTCAGAGCTGTATACACTGGAATTTTGCATGGAAACAGATTGGAAATTGTCAGAGGGTAAGTCACTCCCCACACTGCCCCCTACTGTCTCTGAAGTGTCCTGCTCCATGTTTTGAGATGTTTGTGAAGCCATTTCACCAGGTGATGTTTCAGCCACATTTGGAGGTGGAGTAGAATCATACAGCTCCGGTTGGTTTTGAGTCTTATTAAGCTCTGGGAGAGGAGGTTCGTATGGAGGAGGCCATTCCCCGCAGTCCTCAGGGGCTCCTATCATTCCGTCAGGTGTGAGAGGAATCTGGCTGTGCACTAGAACCGGGTCGGGTGACGGGAGGGGTGACATGCTGCCAGTGCCTCCATCTTTGTAAGGCTTCTTGTCCTGTGGAGGGCTGTCATCCAGCATGATGGACTCTTGCAGTAGAGAGATGTGCAGAGAGGCTGGTGGCCGTTTGATAAGCTGCTCTTTGTTGGGCGTATCTATTGAGGGGCTCGGTTTGGGCCTTTTGACCGGAGTCAGAACTACAGGCAGCTCCAGACCCAGAGGTTTCCTTGGAAACTCATCAGGCTTAGCTGTGAACACAGAAATAATGAACTAGAGTGGACTGAAAATGTAGGTGACCAACATGAACTGGGGCCAAAAATATTTTTATTTATTAATTTAATTTATGCTGTGAGGTGGATGGAGCACTGCATATGTTTTCATTCTTAATATACAGCATGAATAATGAAATATTGAATAGAGCTGTTGAATGTAATGCATTCCTGTGGTGGCAGAGCTGAGTGTCATATGATCCTTCAGAAATCATTCTAATATGCTGATTTTGCGTCAAGAAACATTTCTTAATATTTTCTATATTCAATATTGTGCTGCACATGCTCCATGATGCATTTTTCAGGATTCCTTTATGAATAGAAAGTTTAAGAGTAATTAGCATTTATTTGAAATAAAGCAATTTTGTAACAGTATGCATGTATTTACTGTTACTTTTGATCAATTGAAAGTGTTCTTGCTAAACTAAACTTTTGAATGCTATAGTATATACACTATTATTTTATGTTATGTTATAAAACAATGTATTATGTCAACTAAACTAAATATTATTTTTTTTACACATTCTGTATATGAGGGATTAAAAGGGTGTATGTTTCACAATGAGCTCTCCTAACCAAGTTAACAGTGACAAAGACATTAAAATGACAACACATAAGTGCACAGATTCATGCAGTTAGATATCATATAAAGAAAATAACCTGGTGGTGGGAAGTCAAGCTTCATTTTGCGAAGTTCAGACATAGACACTTTAAGCTGCTCTATGACAATGTCATCATGGAGGTAGATTGACTCTCCTATCTTCTCCTGCAGAAACTCTCTCAGATCCTCCAGAGACATCTTAAGCAAACGTTCTGGACAGAAGTAGGTACAGTAAGTTTTTCATTTCACAGTAAACAAATCATTTGATTTCCATAATGTGCTGAGAGGTTTTAATTTAAGTCAAGACAATCAGATTTATTTAGGGTATGAAGGAAACAGCACTATGAAGTTGTTAGTGGATATGGAGTAGATTTTGAGATCTTTGGATTAAATTGTTGTTAATTTACTATTGTAAAAAGAGGAACTCACTTTTGTGGAGATGAAGGATGGTGTAAGCCATGGCTGTCAGAACTTTCTCGCCCTCCAGGATGAAGATATCCCACAGACGTAACGTCAGAGTGAATGGGGTCTGGAAAAGGTGACATGTTTGTGTATGAACTAAGACGGGCAGCTCAATAGAAAGGCCCTCACATCATAATGGACAATACAAAATCTGTAGAATCTTCATTCTCAAATACAGTTTTAAACTGGGGCCTCTGTTGCTCTAAAGCTGATCTCCCTCAGCAAGGATCCTGCCAGTCCACAAGCACAGCTCTCAAACCGAGCTGGACAAGATTCTGCAGTGCTGACAGTGGCTGCTCTCTTTCCTCCAGAGCCAAACCCACAGGATTGTGTGTACAGTATGTGCAGAGTAAACATTGAAACACCCTTGTCTGCCTGCTAATTGCACACTTCTCCGTCTATCAAGAGGCCCTGAAAAAGAGAGCGAGCAAGAAACACTTTCTTTCAACCCCTTTCCTTCAGTTTCTTGAGCCCTAATTCCTCTTTGCCAAGTCCACCAACCTCAATCTACATTCCCATGCTTTACAAAGCTGTATTGTGGCTACTTATAAACTATTTTCAAATGTCACATATTATCACCGGCCTGTACTGAACCCAATGAGGTGTTTTTGATCAAATTTTAGGTTATTTAAATAAGTTGGATGTCAGAAATCAGTGGTCAGAGTTTAGGAAAGTAGTGCACGGTGCCAAACATCAACCAATCAACAATTTTCTTGACTTAAGACATGGCGATTGGTCACTCACTCTACCTAAACTTTTTTCCTCATGTAACCAAAGTGAGTCCTCCATCAGAGTGCCCTTATTAGGATGTTTCTTAAACTGTGGGTACTTTTATGTCCTTCTAATGTCATCTTGTAATGCACGGTAGTCTGTCAAAGACAAAACTCTTTTTGATAAAGCCATTTGTTTGATTGATAGAGAATAAAGGAGCAAGCCCAGCTGTACTCTTCCAAAATCAAACAGATTGAGCTTGATATCAACAGGACCTTTCAAAACCACATCAAATTACATACTGACCCCAAAACTAAGTTTTAATTAATTACCATTTATTCATTATTTATTTTTACTACTCTTTACAGATTTTAATGTTGTACTCTTAACCTAGACCTAGACTGTCAATATTGCAATATGAATATCTATTATAAATATTAAATTGGTTGTGTTCACACTGGTTCGATTTAACAAACTCTGGTGTGATTGCTCTGTTAGCGCGTTTCACTTGAATATGTGAGAAAGATGCCATCCAAACCCTGGTGCCAGTGGTGCGCACCAAACAAGTGAATCAAGATGCCTGAAAAGTCCACACATCCAAACATACATCTAAACAAATCAAAAGCTGAGTTTGTTGAACAGGTCTCACTACCAACACCTCTTCATATGTCTTTCAGCCCCTCGATGGTGAAAGATAATCAGAACACTGACTCACCAGTCACATTCAAATAAAGCCAAAACTCCACCTCTGATTGGCTCATGACTCACCACTTCGCAGCGATTGTTTACAGTGACCTGATCAGGCACTTTAATATACACTCAGCTGATGTATCATTTCTTTGGCTTTTATGACTAAGCTTAGCATGTGATTGAGCATGTCTACCTATCTACTAGTCACTGCATACATAACACACTTGTCAGTTAGGTTATAATGTATCTGCTGAGAACAAACACTTACCCTGTCTATAAAACACTGGAGGAACCATTTAGTGCTGTAAATCCCACAGGACATCTGCTCCTTATCCTGATGCGAGTGCATGTAAATGGAGAAAAAAAAGAGTGAGAGAAGAACAGAACTCAGCATTAGAGAAACTTACACTTAACTAATCTCATAGGTTCTGAGTATATTTTGCAGTATTGTGTCTGCCAAAGCAATCTTACCAAATGCTTCTTAAGTTTGGGTAAAAGTTTGGAGAGAATCTGGTCATGGTGGTTTTGGAAACGCTGAAGTTTGGGAAATCCGGGAACAAAGAATCCTGTGATGGGCAAATGTGCAAGTATGAAAAAAATGTCCCAACAGAAGACCAACAAATATTACCCCGTGTTCAATTCTAAAGTGTTATTTATCTCAATAACTTTTCTTTTTAAAACAAATCAATACTTTATTAAATTGATCAAAAGTGGCAGTAAAGAGATGTAGAAAAGTATAAATTATTTCTATAAAAAAGTTGTACTTTCTATTCATCAAGGAATCCAGAAAAATATGTATCACTGTTTCCACAATAATATGAAGCAGACAAGTAGCACTACTGTGTTTTCAACATAAATAATGATGAGAAATGTTACCTGAGCAGCAAATCTTATGCATTTTATGTCATATAGTTTTATGAAGCTTATATAATGTTCTATCAATTAAATCAACATTAAAATGCTTAGCCACAAGCAGAATAAATGAGAACAGCTCACCGTGCATGCCATGTTTCTGATTGGTTAAGAGCTGTGACAAAGCCCAGAAAGCATCTTCTTCATTCATGAACATTAACAGAATGGCCGCAATCTGACTCATGCCCTGGCAGTAACTCACTTCCTGTAGACAAGGACAGACAAAGTCAGCTATTATGTAACATCTCTTTATTAACCATGGATGTGATTGTCCACTTACTGTATTGTAAACAGAGTACGCAGAGAGCACATGGAACAAAGACTGCTGCCTGTGAAGAGAAAAACAGTGTTGTCAGGCTCAAACTCTCGTGTTGCTGTCTTTACTGAATGTCACAATATCGGTGAAACAAACACACATCAGCAACACATGAACCAACATCCATATTTTCCCACAAAGATGCATTTTTTTCCTTCAAATTATAGTGGAGCCCCTCCCATCATGTGTGAGCATTAATGACACCCTTCAGATGAGCAAGACTTTCCACTTGGCTCTCTAAAGCCTGCAATCTATTAAATCCTCAGTGACATCACTCCCATTTCTGGCCTGCTGGGGGAACAAGCCCTCAAAAACGAGAAACCAGTTCCAGAGGTTGTCTGCAAAAGCAGCAAATAGAGAGCATCCACTCTGCCCTTTTATATTTCTCTTATACATAATATTTGATGCACACTGACGTTCAAAAGTTTCTTCTCCTTGTTGAATAAAACTATTAAATTCTATAAGATGTGTAAAGTTGTTGTTTTTTACATCTTACTAAAACCACACACTTTTGAATGGTAGCGTATACTACGGTGTGCCGCATCATCATTGATACAGTACATAGTTGGATATAACATTACTAAAGCTTTTTACAAAACCGATGGATGAAGTTTTTGAGCAAACTTGTATTTTAATTTAATATTAAACAAGTACATGATCTCTGTTTTGTAAATGTGTCTGCGTTTTATGGTCAAATCTTAGGCTTGTTTCAAATGGCACACTTGGTTTGGACTTGTGGTCTCATAGCCTTCACCTCTGTGAAATCCACATAATCTGAGATGCCATTTGGGACAGGGTGTTAGTTGATTCTGAAATCAGTCCTCCAATTACAAAGTTTCCTATATGAGAGCTATATGAAAATTCCATAGAAAGAAAATAAATGTCATATACTCATATAAAAGTGGAAGTGGGCAGTTTGTTACAGATTGCATGAGATCTCTTCAGGCACACTCAGATAAACCATTTATGAGCCATTCCTGTCATGTCAAGTTTCAAGAGCTGAGTCATAGTAAACAAGAGTAGTCTGAAAGCCTGTGGGAAGAATCTGTTCTAGGTCAAGTGTTTTAAATGCTCCAAAGCTGCAGATCACGCTTCTTTGTCAATGTACATATATCACATATAGTGGCAGCATGTACTGTAAGTGTGTTAATGTTACATCTCTGAGCAGCATTATAAGATAAGTGTTAGAACAGAACAGAGCAGAAGAAGCAGAGCTGCAATGCATCGATACATCTACAGTAATTAAAGTGATGTCACCATAGCACATTTGCATGCATGTTTTACTTACTTTACACCAAATCGATCCATAAACATGATGTGGTTTCGAAAGGTCCTGTTGATATCAAGGTCGATCTGTTTGATTTCGGAAGAGTACAGCAGGGCTTGCTCCTTCATTCTCTATCAATCAAACAAACGGCTTTATCAAAAACAGTTTCGTCTTTGACAGACTACCATGCATTACAAGATGACGTTAGAAGACAAACATCTCTCGGTTTAATTATTATGCGATATTATATCATTTATAACATTGAATGGGGTTTATTTTGCCATGATTTTACAGTATAGTTCAAATGTTGCATTTATTTGATGTTAAATTAGTTAAAACAAATATTATAGAATATTATTACAATTTTTAAATAACTGTTTTCTGTTAACTGAAATTGTTATATATTTTCAAATGTAATTTATTTATGTGATGGCAAAGCATCCATTAGTTAAGTCTTCGGTGTCACATGATCCTTCAGAAATCACTGTAATATGTTGACTCAAGAAACATGTATTATTATCAATGTTGAAAACTACTTAATATTTTTGTTTAAACTGTGATACAGTTTTTCCTTATATATATATATATATATATATATATATATATATATATATATATATACAGTATATATATATATATATATATATATATATATATATATATATATACAGTATATATATATATATATATATATATACAGTATATATACTGCATCACAGTTTCTCACAAAAATATTAAAAAGTAAAAAAAGTAAGTTCTTCCAAGGTCATGTTGCAAGTATACAGTTTAGGGATTATTACACAAAAATATCGGACCATTAAATACTGCTAAATATTTGTATATCAACACCAGGGGTACCATGTTCAGCGACAACGGTGGAGGCAATTTGTCTCTTGACTTTTGTAAAATATCAGCAGCTTTGAAGGTTTGTTTAGCTTGTGTTTTGTTCTTTCCTATCTCTTTCCATGCCATATATCAGCCATCTGTCTGTTTTCAGATCACTCTCTAATCCCTTTGAAATAGCTCTACCACACCACTCCAGTAATCCCACTCTCACCAAACACCCGGCTTTAGGCCAGCAGAGACTCGCGGCTACATACAGTAGTGTCCATAGGAGCTATTGCGTGGAAATGTGTATGCATGGATGTTTTTAACCCTTACCTCATATTTTCCTGCATTATCGCTCTTAACTTTCTCGACATCCAGTAGCAGGGCCCAAGCCTGTCCTCTCAGCTGTAGAGGGATGCCTTTATACACCCGCTTAATCATCTGCACAAAGCCACCAGAAGTAAGTGCAAGTGTTTATGTGTGTGTGCCTATGTTATGGAAACAAATTGTCCACTCAAAGATAGCAATATACACAATCCTTGTCCTTGTGGGGACATTTTTGGTCTTATAAATCAAACTAAGTGATGTTTTTATAAATGTATAAATGCAAAACGTTTTCTGTGATGGGTAAGTTTATGGTTAGAGGATCAAATTTGTACAGTATAAATAATATATCATTATTTATCATGTCTATGAAAAGTCCACATACAGTATAACATGAAAACCCATATGTGTGTTTTTTAAAAGATGCAGTGCTTTCACAGTGCTTTCTTTGATTTTCAGATGAATGATTGCAACCTCTATGTGCAACTCACCCGGTCACTGTTCCAGTACTTGTTCCAGTTCTTCAGCATCTTCAGCCATTTCTGCACCCTCTCAATCTCCACATGTTTTTGCTACACAGGGGAAAACAATGAGATCTGATGAAGAATGATTTGCAAAAAAAATAAATAAATAATTATAATAATAATTATATATATATTGTTACGATGCAGGAGGAGGCAGACAAGGGGTTGGATCCAAATGCAGTGATTTATTAATAACAGTGAAAACTAAAGGACAAAATACAAACAAAGGAAATACCCGCGATGGGGAAACAAAACGCAAACACGGAAAACATCAAAGGCAGGATAAACATGAGGAAGAGCACGGAGACAGGCGTCCACAAACATCAATGATAGACAAGGGAATGGAGAACAAACAGGGTTTAAATACACTGGAGACATGATGATGACAAACTACAATCAGGTGAGCACAATGACACAGGGCTGGCAGTGATGAGTGCTGGGGATCATGGGAAATGTAGTTTTAACACGAAGACAGTGAAACACAGGGCGGACAACAAGGAAAACGTGACATGGAATGTGAACAGAGATGGGTGAAACAGAAAACAAGGGACAGACAACAAGGGATCATTACATATATATATATATATATATATATATATATATATATATATATATAAATACAGTATAAATACATATATGTTTAATTTCTGTTAATTTATCCTTATTTAAAAAATCATATTAAAATAACATGAACCATCATCATCATCATAATTAATAATAATAGATAATGACGATAAACATTTTTTCCCCATCTAAAACAATTAAAGAAACAAACAAAAAAAAAAAACGAAAGAAGCATCTTTCAGCCCACACTCAACAAGAATATGTTGGGTGTGGTTGTATGGTGCATATCACATGGCTATAATCCTTAGGTCCAACAGACCTTTCTTTCCTCATATGTACAAGTACTTCGGGATTAGATGCAGGATAGGAATTCAGATCAACTGATTTAACATCTGTTCTGAGGACAGGTTTCACTCTTTCCACCCTTAGTGTTTATCCTTTATGTGCCACAACAAGACTGCACAAATCTCAGCTGGAAAATGCATCTGCCACCTCCATGCAGTGAATGTCACATGGGAACACACCTCCAGACCGTCCAGCTGTGTCTGCCACACACTCTTGTATACTAAACGCTCATACCTGAAGGTCCCCCTAAGCTTGTTTACAAAAGAGTCTCCGCACTGCTACTGATTTAGTCTGTGATCCTTTGTGTTTCTGTCTGTGAATGTCAGACATTCACATGCTGTTTGAATGTACATCATCTGTATACTATATTTACATGCTTGATTTGAGTATGTTTACATTACCTTCTCTTCAATGGCACTGGGTGTGGGTAATTCTTCTTCACTGTGGGAAAAACAAACAGGTAAATACACTATAAGAACTAATAATACAATAATACAATCACAAACATTCCTGTTTGGATAGGATTAGGTTTAGAACCTGAGTAGACCCTCTGTAATTAGTACTGAGGTTGTGTGTCAGATGTGTTTGATTCAGACAGAATTAAAACCGTAAAGTACACTTTTTTTTATATAATTTGTTTGAAAAAATCTTCAAGCTTAATTAATTCAGTTTATTCCTTTGAGAGAAATGCTGAATTTCCAGCATCATTACTCCAGTGTCTTCAGTGCCACATGATCCTTCTGAAATCATTCTAATATCATGATTTGCTGCTCAAAAACTTTTCTTATTATAGATTTTTAAAACTCAAAAGAAAACAATTTTTAAATAAACCATTTTGTAACATTTTGTCTTTGCTGTCACTGTCAATTGAATGCATCCTTCCTGAATTAAAGTATTAATTTCTTTCCAAAGAAAAAAAATATTACAGATCCCAAACAAGTAAATAGTAGTGTATGTCTTGTAAATCCTAAATTTGCATAGCCGTACAAGGGGAAACTAATTTGTTTCCAACAGCATTATAGTCTTAAATCACAGCTTTATGTTTACATATGCTGACAGACAATGTATGCTGATAAAAATGCAATAAATGAAAAAAGACACTGTCATTATGAGTGACAATTTGTTTTCAGAAAAAATAAAATAGCTTTACGGGGATTGAAGAGCATTTAAATGCATGTTTCACTTGACAATATACTGGATGTTGGGTTTTACCCAGGACTTACTGAAGAAATCCAAAGCGATCCGTAACTCTGTATATGCTGTAGTCTGCATCCTCCCAAGGATCGATCTGAACTCCTGCGTCTCTACCCTGAAATACACACATAAGCTAATACTTTATTTTGTCTCATTTGTACACAGACTTTGTTGAGTTTATCAAAGGTGCAACAATTCCTCCAATTCCAGGCCACTTGTAAGCATCTGTTGCCTTTAAATTCCTCCAATTCCAGGCCACTTGTAAGCATCTGTTGCCTTTAAAGGCAACAGTACTGAAGTTCTAGACTTCCGTGAGTGATTATATTATTTTCATAATTATATAAATAATGGTAATGTAATAACACATTGAATGCTATGCTATAATATAATTAACAAATCATAAATTTATAATATTATGAATATGAAATAAATTTAGAAATATAAAATAAATTTGTTGCCTAGTGATAATGGCAGCAGTAAATCTGCGTTAAAGTAGGCAGTTAACTGTGTGTGACAATGTGAGCCAAAATAAAATTCTGCATTTAACTGACTAGTTGGTTGACGGTTTTAAAACAAGTAAATAAATGTAACTATAATACACTTGGGCACATTGCAGTTTTTATAAACTGAAAAAAGAACTTGACTAAAACAAATAAATATCATATGCAACACATTTTTGCACATTATCACGAATGTGTACTTTGGTGATCTGAATCTACACCTCATCACTTTTTGCCATGACTAATTTTGTCTCCATCCCACCCCAGTGATATAAGGGGAAACATTTCTAATAGTCGTGCTGAAGCTTTCATTTTGTTTGTGTGTTGTAAGTGGCCGCTCTATGCTGGAGCTTGTCATGTGTTGCGGAGTCGTCGATGCAATTATGGAAAATGACAGCAGCAAAATTCTCTGTAGCACACAGCTTTCCACACACTTTTCTGTGGCTCGCAAAACATCCTAGTGAATTACTAAACGCAAACAAATGTGTCCCAACTCTTGTCATAAAACCAATGCCACTGAGTTCAGCTGACGTTTAAAAGCTTTTCCAGTTGGTGTGGATTGATTCCCTGAGGGGGGACAGCTGCTGCTTGCCTGCCCTCTCCTCAACCCCATGGTGGAGAGAAGAGTGAAAAGCAAGCAGTGATGTGTGATTGTGGGATTATTGTCCCAGTATTCCCACAATTTCAAATGAGTCTGTTAAAAGTGTCATGATGTGTCGTGGTCAGATTGATCACCATGTCATCCATATAGACCACAAACACTTTGTTGGTACAAAAAACCTTCTGTCTGTTGCACTAGCACATAAAACCACCTTTAACACCTCCCAACGGTTTTTTCCCTCTTGACACAGGCGCACAACCTAACGCCGGGTTAAATGTAACACGGACCTTTTACATAGTTCGTCAGGATTAAGCAGGTTGTCTTTCCGCTCTTTTTCTCTTGCTGCTAGAAGACGGTCTCCCACGAATTTGCGGAAAGTTTTGATGATATTTCATGAAGATACTGGACAAAGAGTTTTGACACCATGTACATTTTCATCATAGATTTTTTTCGGTTTCTGAGTAGGGTGTATACGTTTCCAAATCTAACTTTATGTTGCCTTAATCACTGTCTTGTTTGCTCAAACATAGCACCATTTTGAAACATGTCAGCAATTCCTAGCGAAAGTGTAATACACAGCGGGGTTGGTTTAACACAGTGTTACAAACAAGCCTCCAAGTGTACAATGATAATCAAATGAAAACGGAGCCACACAACTTTTCAGGTTTGAGTATACATTTAACTTTGTTGGACTTTCATAAACAATGTTGGAATTTAAAATGTTTAAAATTTAGTGTGAATGATACCTTGTTTATTTATTAAAAATATGGCCTGTTTTTAATGCAATAAACCCTTTCAATTTTTATTTTAAGCTCATTTGTATTATTATTACTGTTATTATTATTAATGCTAATAATTGTACATGCAGCTGCCACACACAAATCTAATTTAATTGCAATTACAATATTTTATAATTTTATTTATTATTATTTATTGCAAAACGGTGCAGCCCTTTTCTATGTCTCTATATCCATGATATTGATCCATAATAGAAGGATGATTGGATGAGGGATGGGTGTATGGATATCTATCTATACAGATGCAAAACAATATCAAACTATACAAATAAAATAGTACTGAATTATGTGTGTTACACACAACTAACCCCTCTGTCTGTTACAATTAACCCCACATATGGGGTAAGTTGTAACATTTGCATTTCTGTCACTTTCAGTGCAACTGTACGAAAATGGTAGGTCCTAGAAAAAAAAATTTAAGTGTTCATTTGTAGCAGAGATGTGTATGTTGCTTGTGTAAAAAAAAAATACAGTATTAATCTGACCTGATTATTTTTTAATTAATTGAGCCAAAACCAAAATGCGTTAGGTTGTGCCCCGCTCTCACCTATCTGAGGGAGTTTCCTTTCGAGGGAACTCGAACTGCGTCGAATGACACTATGTCAGCTTTCTGTTCTTCAGCAAGTGCTCTATGTTGTATGTCATATTTGGTGCTGTCTGTCAATCACACAAAGCATATATTTATATGTATATATATATACAGTATATCATAGGGAGTGCAAGTTTCAGATGTTGTGTGCATCCCTGCCTTCGCTACATAACGGGTGGGGACACACAAAATGTGTGTGTGTATTGTTTGGAAGTGCAGCAGAGGATTGCGAAGCTTTGCCGATCCGTGTGCTCCACTCCCGCCTGGCCATTTTTGATGAGGATGGTCAGGGCGACGCTCTTCATGGGGCTCGCAGATGGATCTGACAGGGGATCCTGAGACTACTGAGGCACATTCTCAGGATTCCTCTGACAGTTCTCCCGGTTCTCCGTGCTCAGCATCGAAGGGATTTTGGGGATGACTCGCAACCCCATGTCCCCACATATGAAGATCTGGTGGAGGTTGTTTCTCGTGCAGTGGCCAAATTAAATCTTGGCCACATGAAAGGCAGGAAGTGCCAGTAAAAAGCAAGTTGGATGAGCGCTTCCTTCAGCACAGAGAACAGCCTCGTCAACGGGGTTTGCCGTTCTTCCCTGATTTACACAACGAGTTGTGTAAATCTTGGAACAGACCACACTCTGCTCGCGAATCCAATATTAATTTATAGCAACACCATCATCAACAGGTTTCAGGAGGCAAAAAAGCAGTCTGCTCCCTTCAGACAATACCTCCCCAATGGGCAGCCGCAGCCATCCTCTAGCTCCTCAGCTTGCAGGCACAAAAAGAGACACGTTTCGACAGACGCCTCCCTCACGGGCTGGGGCATGGTCATGGACAGCCGCTTTATGACAGGCCTATGGCAGGACCATCATTATTCCTGGCACATAAACTGCCTGGAGATGTTGGCGGTGTTCCACGTGCCCTGTCAGAGCGCTAAAGATTTATATTCAGAGGTCCTCTTCATGGCGGAAGTCAGACCAGTTGCTGGTGTGTTTTGGGTCGCCCAAGAAGGAGCTTCCCGCCTCCAAGCAGACTATCAGAACTGGATTGTCCATGCCATTTCTTTGGCCTACCAGGTGCGCAATTTGCCTTCACATTTGGCCATGAGGGCTCATTCAACCAGAGGCATGGCGTCCTCTAGAGCCCTTTTTTCGGGGGCCCCGATGTAGGAGGTCTGCGATGCAGCAGGATGGGCCACCCCCCCATACCTTTATTAGGTTTTACAGCCTGGATATCCCATCTACGCCTGGCACTCTTGTGCTCTCGTTCTAAGTGTGCCTGTGAGCAGCTAGTGGGTACTCGTTCCCCCAATGTGTCATTCGATGCAGTTCGAGTTCCCTCGAAAGGGAATGTCCTCAGGTTACGACTGTAGCCCTTGTTCCCTGAGAAAGGGAACAAGAACTGCATCCCTTCGCCACGCCTTCCCCTGCCGGAGTGCTTGCTTTATCACAGAAGCTGACATCTTATGTGCGGCTCGGCGTCCAAACTCTTAACACATTGTAGTCCTTCACGTCTATTGCGATCTCAAAATTCCGGTCGGTTGATTATACCTAGAATATCAAAATCGACTGCAGGCGGTAGATCCTTTTTCTATTTAGTACCAAAACTCTGGAAAAATCTTCCTAACATTCGTCTCTAACATTCAGCAACAACTCGTCTCCATACCGGTGTGATTACTTCGTCTTCCAAACAGATGGAAATGGACAAATACTCTTAACGTTCCGATCTAATTTGACTTGTAATGCTGCCCGATCACACACTGCTCCTTCGTTGGCCAGAGGAGAACTGGCCCAAGACTCAGCCTGGTTTTTCTCTCCATCTCCAAGTTTTTTTTTCTCCATTCTGTCACCTGATGGAGTTTTGGTTCCTTGCCACTGTTTCCTTGGCTTTTGGTTTGCTTATTTGGGGACATTTAATATTCAACAATATTATTGATCTGTGTTGTATAATTTTCATGTTATCACCGTGAGCTGCTTTGATACAATCTGTACTGTAAAAAGCGCTATATAAATAAAGGTGACTTGACTTGACTTGACATTGCGTTATGACACAACACCAATCAGAGACTGGCTTAGTTTCATTCATACTTCATACTTCATTCATATGTTCATTCACATCTTCAAAAAAAAAATGACATTTAAAATCTAATTATTACACTAATGTTCAGAAGTTTGTGGTTCACTAAAATACTGTAAAAAAAGTAATATTTTTAAATGTTATTTAATCTTGTGATGGTAAGCTGAATTTTCCGCATCATTACTAAGGTCTTTAGTGTCACATGATCCTTAAGAAATCATTTTAATATGCTCATTTGTTACTCAAGAAACATTTCTTATTCTAAAAAAAAGTGAGAGTAAAAGGCAAAATTTACCTTATTATATTTAGAGATGATCTCAGCACGTTCCTCTGCTATCAGCACCTCTATGTCCTTCTTCATGTCAATATCTAGAAATACAGCACATAAAAAAAACACTAATGACAAGGAGAAAAAAAGAATATTGACAAAAGCTGAACAGTCTGGAAGACAGATATGTTAAGTTTAATTTGGGGGCTATATGTTTGTAAAGATCCATATTTAAAAGGTTAACTTTTAGGGTTAGGAATCAAAAATGGATTCCAATTCTGGAATTGGATACTTAAAGGGTCACTCTACCTCTGGAAAGATGAATGTGTATTCAAAATGGATATTTTTGGCTTTTGTGGATGAAAGACAACAACTCCCAGAATGCACTTACTTCGCTGCTGTAGGAGGCCACGCCTACCGGTAACAGTGCAGTGGGTAAACAATAGTCTAAGCTACTAGTGTGTCTCCGTGATGAGTCTGCCCGAAAATGTGTTTCGAGATCGCCCAAAATGTCCGGGATTCGGCTTTTGCGTTATACAGTCATCATTCATCATGTTTACTGTGCAGGACGAGGCTAGGGCTGTGTGGAGAACGACGCAATGCCGGTGGCGTGATTACCGATGTGCGACACCTGTGAGACGTAAGTTACTGGTCTCGTATCTCTCACGGAGGAGTGGGAATTTTCTTACCAATGTTAAAACGCACATCAACCGATCACTTTTTTAGCGTTCATGTAAACACTACATTCAGATTCACCAATCAGAAGGAATTCAGTTAGATTAAAACAAAAGCTGTGCATGTAAACAATGCATGCAACTGGAGAGAGCAAATGCGGCGGACATGACATATCCGGGAAAAAGAGGACGGTAACCCCTTAAGTTACAACTCGGCTTTCTCCACAGAACAAGGGCCTGCTAGCTTAGGCACTTAGACACTATGTGTATTCCCAAACGTTTCTGCTGGTGAAATCAAACGCACTGGCACTGATCTGTGATAGGTCTCTTAGCGCATTAGGTCCAACCCCCTATGGGCGGGTTTGAAAGGGTGGGATCTGGTGCTTGTAGTCTTTACAGAAAAAAAAAAAAAACTCTTTTACACTTCCTCCTACAAATGACGTAAAATGACGATTTGTTTTAGGAGGAGGAGGAGACCATTGTAGGAGGAAGTGAAAAAGGTAAATAGCAGATTTCGCTCATCTCATTGGAAAATGAGAGTGTTGCACGACCATTCAATAGTATAACTGCGTTTCTAACAATGGAAAGCTCAATCCAAATGAGTGGAGTGTCCCTTTAAGGTCAGGAAATGGAAATTTGTAATGAAATAAAATTTTGATTGATTTTTTATAGGGCTGTGCAAAAGTTAATTGCGATTAATCGCATCCAAAATAAAAGTCTGTGTTTACATAATATATTTGTGTGTGCTGTATATAATTATTTTGTATATATAAATACCTATGCATGCATGTATATATTTAAGAATTATTTGCGCTTAAATTCTGTATATATTTATAAATACATAATCTATATTATATAAATATAAATATTTCATATATGAATAACACATTTTCTTAAATATATAGATGCATGTGTGTGTATTTATATATACAAAATAATTATATACAGCACACATAAATATATTATGTAAACACAGACTTTTATTTTGGATGCGATTAATCACAATTAATTTTTGCACAGCCCTAATTTTTTATTGAGACTGCTCATGAGCGCAACATATTTATCATTTAGACTGAGGAACTAGTCTAAAATCAAATGGTACTTGGTAACCTGAGCGCCCATAATGTTTTGTAAATCCTGTTGGTCATAAAGGCCTTGACTGTCTCAGAAACATTATCCCCATGGGAACCTCAGAGCCAAAGGAAGGGAACAAAGATTCCCGCCAGGCTTCAGCTGTCTGAGATAGAGTGCTGTGTCTGTCACACACAAAAATAGAAACTGACAAACACAGTCACCCACCCTGGGACACAGCGTTGCATGGCATGCCATCATTTGTCATATTCAATATTTCTAGCCCATCACCAAAACATACCATATGTATGTTATGTACATTAAATCTTCAATAAGCAGGAGAGACAAAAACACAGTTAAGTATTTGTCTTAATGACAATTCACTTGCCCCTCATACCTAAATTAAAACAACAAGCGCATCTGTTTTGTTTGTACAGTATCATTGATTACATTTCCTGATGTATTTAGACAGGACACTCCTGTCAGGTGTCAATAAATATACCAGACTGATTTTTATCACTGCACTGAGGCCTTTTTCTCATCTGGCCCTTTCCCAATTTTTCCATCAACTTGAAACTTATTCCAATCATAGAGCTGATGAGTGCTGACGCAAGTACAAGTGAACAGAGTAGCTAATCTATGTTTTTTATTAAAAAAAAATAAAAAAATAAAAAAAAACTGATAGTAAGTGGTTAAACGCATCATCAGGAACAATAATGATTCGAGAGGGAGTATGCTTACATGACTTTAAAATTAGCAGAACTACAGGAAATAATTCTAAGCCTGTGCATTTTTTACTACTCAATGAGAAAATAATTTACTCGAAAAACCCATACCACAGATTGCAAAACTAAAGGAAAGCAAACGACTTTAAGCATTTTTCAGCCTACTGGCATTATATTACATTGTATACCCTCTCACTAAAATCACTCTCAATGTTAGTTTTAAAAATGGTTTAAAATGGCAGCTGGGGTAGTCCAGATCTTGGATTTGCCATAATAAACATTAAAAATATATTAGATTATATAATGCAACACAACAACACTTTAGTGTAAAGGTAGTGCTCTTCAAAACTCCAAAAGCCTTCAAATAATCCAAACAATATTTATAGGGAAACAATCAAGAGCTTCAATTTGCCACATAATGTTACATTTCTTCAGAAAAGCTATTCAAAGTTCACAGATCATTAGTTAGCTAGAAAAAAAGAGGAGCATTTCGATAAAAAATATGCACTTCATTACACATTAATTTAAAGAAGACTATGTTTGAATAAATCAAGTATTATGAAACTGTTTATTACAGCCACAATTTGAATGTTTATATTAAATTGAAAAAATAATTAATCAGTTTTGTGGATTCTTGTTAGCCCATACACAAAAAAGTCACCTTCAAAGAGACTGATTTAAAATCTGGATAAGCTGGCCTGATCCCAAACTTACATAAAGCAAGATGATAATCTGTCAAACACCCTAATCCACATCCCTAAGGATGGATAAGTGCTGAAAACATTCCTTTTCCTGAGGAAAGCAGTGTCGTCATCTGCCACCTTGCAGCAAGCAGCAAAAGGCTTTGGTTTTGCAATATTTGATGAAACCCCAGATTATAACCCTCAAGATCGTCATTCTGAAAGTACAAGTGCTTAGTGAAAGTACAAGTCCATATTTGAAAATATTTACATGTAATGGTCTAATCCAACATACCATATTTATTATAACACATGTTGTCAGTTTTTCATACAACCTTTTATGAACAAACTTGGACACATTATCAGTGTTGTTTCCCGGCATCATTGGGTGTTTTGGTTCTTTCAACAGACACCCTCTTCCAGGCGACCTGACCGAGTTTAATCAAGCCTTGGCCTGTGTCCAAGTGCCATTTTGCTATCCCCATATGTCACCCCATAGCCATTTTGATGCTCTCTCTGCAACCGCCATGCTGTTGCTGATGGCTCTTCTCCGGCTTGTACAAGTTATTCCCAGCATTTAATAAGCCTTGCTGAAGGAAGGACCTGCAAATCCTTAGCAACTCCACTGTCATCCACCTGGCTTACCACCCATTCCAGCAGCAGGCCTCCAGCAGTCCCTCATACTTCTGCTCTTTTTCTCTTCTATGCCTCTTCCATCCTCTCCCAAGGCACAATTAGCTCCAGTAGGATAAGCTGTGTCATAGACTCTGAGACTAATATTATGTCGGGTTAAGCATGGACTGGGGGATGTGTGGCGGAATTTTCAGCAGTCGATCCAGGTCAACTGTCATCACTCAGTCTCGCGCAGTGTAGAGCAAGCCACCAGGGTTGTTTCTGCAATCATCCTGGCTGAAGTGTTGGAGCTTCTGCTCTCACTAATCCCCCTGCTGATTGCCTCAGCTAAGGTCTTGAGAACTTGATCATGTCACCAGCGATAAGAGCCATTGCCCAGGAGCAACTGGTCAAGAGGTGTTCAAGAGAGCCTGCCAGGGTGCATGCTGGAGTTCCTACCTTGCCCCAAACAAACAGGTTGGGAGGATGTTGTATACCCCTTGAATCAAAAACCTGAGGGTTCCATTTGCATATATCCAGCCAGGAGACCTTCCTCTCCATTGTCTGCTCCAACTTCACCATTCAGTTTCTTCATCACTACAACCTTGCTTGCTTGCTCGTTCTTTCTCCACTGAAGCCCACACCTCTTCTTACGCTAGCCTTGACCTTTCCTTTTTGCTGTCAGTGTTGCAACAGGTTGGTGTTGAACTTCTGAATCCAGCCCTACCCTGTGCCACAGTCCCGAGGAGAGCCTTGGCCTTCAGTCTAGCTTCTGCCCGTTGGACTTCCTCAGTTACCTTCCACCTCCTCCCTCTACTCAGGACAATGCCTGCTCTGGACACTTTAGCATCCTTTAACCCCGAATACTGCAAATCTTCTCATGCCCATGCAATGCTGAATCCCTAATGTAGCTGAATAAGAGCCAGCTGTTGCCATACAACCCAATAATGCTAAAGCTGCATGGCACACCCAACCTTCTGCATGGATAGCTGTTCACTCTATGCTCAAAACCTTCCACTACAATCATAGGGACTTTGTTGATGAGTAGGTGCCAGAGGATTTTTGGAGAAGATCCAGGCCTTAAATTTCCTGGGGAGCCCAGACTTGTCCACAGTTCTTAGCCACCTCTCCAGATCGGACGTGGAGGCCTTGATGGAGTCTGTGTCCTTTAGGCTCCAGTCTTATCATTTTGATTAATTAAGAGCTGTCCAACAGGATTTCTGTAGTCTATCTAGCCCGCAAGTCTGCCAATCATCTCCACCCGGGCCGACGGCACCAACCTCCCTCCTCCTCTTTTCCTGGCAGTGCGGCTAATTTAGCTAATTTAGTTTAGTAACGC